TTCCTGTTAACCTTCGGTGGCAAATCAGCTCAAATGTGTATTTTCCTGCTGGGCATGCCTCAACATGCCTTCCCGTGTTCCGCATTGGCGATGCAATCCTGTCTCAGGGAACAGCTGGACTTTAGATCACCTTTGTGCTAGTAATTCATATGTAAAAGCTTCGGCAGGGAAGCTATCTCAGTTGCCCTGGCTTATCACTCTACTTTCCCTCAGGCTAGCTTCCAACCAAGTTTTCCCATAAGGATATAGCTGTGATTACCATTGCCTTAAACCTGGAACTAATGAAACCTGGAGCTGCTGTTTCTTCTGCTGAAGACATGGAAAGAGACTTTGATTTTTGATGCAGGAACAACTGCTCCTTCCTAATTCCTATTTATTTATCAGAGACAGTCTCTGATGAATCAGTGTCCCTATTTTTATGTTTTGGTCATACCTTGAATTTTTTAAAAATGTTGGGCGCATGACTGGAGTTTTGTGCTTTCCGGAGAATTTCTCTCTCCCAGTTTCTGCAAATGGATGTTTCTTTGGATTAAGACAAAGAGCACTTTTGTTCAACTGATCATAAGGACAAATCGACAGGGGAAAAAGGATAGTAACAAATGGTAGTGATGGAATAGCCATTCAAGATTTAAATCCTAGACTCATGTCTCTGTATGGTCTCAGTAGACGTTTTTTCGCTATACAAGCCCCTTTCACCTGGTGCTTCCATAATAATTTAAAGGAAGCATTTCCTCCTGACATCTGGAGTTTTATTTGTCTTGCTATGAGATGTAAATGGGGAGACGCAATGGTGCCCGGAGACTAAATGCCTTGCATTCCACCCTTTGGTTTGATCACCATGTTCCATGGTCAGGAAGGGTCTTTTCCATCAAAATGATTACCATTGCCTTAAACCTGGAGCTAATGAAACCTGGAGCTGCTGTTCCTTCTGCTGAAGACATGGAAAGAGACTTTGATTTTTGATGCAGGAACAACTGCTCCTTCCTAATTCCTATTTATTTATCAGAGACAGTCTCTGATGAATCAGTGTCCCTATTTTTATGTTTTGGTCATACCTTGAATTTTTTAAAAATGTTGGGCGCATGACTGGAGTTTTGTGCTTTCCGGAGAATTTCTCTCTCCCAGTTTCTGCAAATGGATGTTTCTTTGGATTAAGACAAAGAGCACTTTTGTTCAACTGATCATAAGGACAAATCGACAGGGGAAAAAGGATAGTAACAAATGGTAGTGATGGAATAGCCATTCAAGATTTAAATCCTAGACTCATGTCTCTGTATGGTCTCAGTAGACGTTTTTTCGCTATACAAGCCCCTTTCACCTGGTGCTTCCATAATAATTTAAAGGAAGCATTTCCTTCTGACATCTGGAGTTTTATTTGTCTTGCTATGAGATGTAAATGGGGAGACGCAATGGTGCCCGGAGACTAAATGCCTTGCATTCCACCCTTTGGTTTGATCACCATGGTCAGGAAGGGTCTTTTCCATCAAAATGGCTGGTTTCCTCATCTCTCTGTCTGCCCTAGCATACTTGTGTGTTCTAGTCTTCCATCAGCTCCATTTGTGATGCCTGCTGCTTTCTCTGCTCTCTGCTCTAAAAGATATAGGTCGTGTTCAGACCGGCAGTCTGGCCCGATAGAGGCGCATTGTACAAACGGATTAAACGGGCAGGATCACGCAGCCACATCTGTCAGGCATTCCCCGGGCGTACTCACCCCATCAGAGGACGACTCGGAGCCGGGTTAAAAAGCCACCACCTCCAAAGTGGTGTTTTTGTTTCCCCACGCATCCATTGCGCATGGCCGGATGTCTGAACACGGGAGACAGCGCGCAGAATGGATTTGAAAAAAAAAGGAGTTTGTAAGCCGCTCTGAGACTCCTTCAGGTAGTGAAGGGCGGGGTATAAATCCAATCTCTTCTTCTTCTTCTACCTCACAGGGTGTCTGTTGTGGGGAGGGGAAGGGAAAGGAGTTTGTAAGCCGCTCTGAGACTCCTTTGGGTAGTGAAGGGCGGGGTATAAATCCAATCTCTTCTTCTTCTACCTCCCAGGGTGTCTGTTTTGGGGAGGGGAAGGAGTTTGTAAGCCGCTCTGAGACTCCTTCAGGTAGTGAAGGGCGGGGTATAAATCCAATCTCTTCTTCTTGTTTTACCTCACAGGGTGTCTGTTGTGGGGAGGGGAAGGAAAAGGAGTTTGTGAGCCGCTCTGAGACTCCTTCTGGTAGTGAAGGGCGGGGTATAAATCCAGTCTCGTCTCCTTCTGAACCTGCAGATCCGTTCTGCTGCTATGGAGGCAGTTTTTAAAAAAGTCTTGCCTATGTCCGCATGCGTGTGCATTCACGCACACACATGGTGTTTGGATTTTTTTTTTTTTTGCAGTTCGCTCCGTGGCTGAGGCACCACAATAATGTGGAGGCTTTACCCCGGGATGTCTCCGTGGGTAACCCACAGCAGGGTGTGCTGTGGCGGATATATCCCACTACACTTTAACCCGGTTCAATTAGAGGCGGCACCGTATCGCACCAACCGCCAGTGTGATCACAGCCATAGACTGGCCTATTAATATGGCCTGTGCCTCATGACCATCAGATGTACTCTGGCCTTGCAATTCACTTACAGCTCAATGGAGTTACTCAAGTGTCGTACTAGCAAGTATCTCAAAGTGGGCTGTGGGGAGAAAGAAGGCCTAGCTAAGCTTCTGATTCAGGTGGGTGGCTGTGTTGATAATGCTTCTGAGCATTAGATAGTTTCAGAGCATAGCTGTGTTTGCCTGCAGTAGAACAGACAGAGTCAGAGGTCCTTTCCACACTAGACCTTAAATCCTGGTTCAACCCTGTCCCTGAACTTACATTCTACAGTAAACGTGAACATAACATAAGAACATAAGAGACGCCAATGTTGGATCAGGCCAAAGGCCCATCCAGTCCAACACTCTGTCACACAGTGGCCAAAAATACCAGGGGCCATCTGGAGGTCCACCAGTGGGGACAGGACATTAGAAGCCCTCCCACTGTTCCCCCCCCCCAGCACCAAGAAGACAGAGCATCACTTGCCCCAGAGCCCCTATCTATACCTTGTGGCTAATAGCCACTGATGGACCTCTGCTCCATATGCCTATCTAATTCCCTTTTGAAGCCGTCCATGCTTGTAGTCGCCACCACCTCCTGTGGCAGTGAATTCCATGTGTTAATCACTCTTTGGGTGAAGAAGGACTTCCTTTTATCCGTTCTAACCCGACCGCTCAGCAATTTCATGGAGTGCCCATGAGTTCACCCCTGTAATATCTCGGGGTATTTTTACATTCTACACTACACTCGAGTTCACCCCTGTAATATCTCAGGGTATTTTTACATTCTACACTACACTCGAGTTCCCCCCTGTAATTATCTTAGGGCATTTTTTGTTTCCACATTACATTGAGGTCACCCCAGTTTCGCCCCACACGTGTCCCGGGATAAACGGATGCTGTTATAATCAGGGATAAATGCAAAGTCTTGTGTCCCGAGTTGAACTCTGATAAAACCAGGGATGAGATCCAAGTGCGGAAAGGACCAGAGACCAACAAGATTTTCAGGATTAGGAGTGTCTGAGAGCCAAAACTCCCTTTGCCGGATTCTGAGCACTGGTATAGCAATTATAGCAAAGAGTTAATTTTGCAGAGGAGGTTAAGTTGGGAAGAAGCTAAATTGCAACTTTGTCCAAGAGTGAGACCTCTACATTCACAGCCCCAGGTTTAACGACATACCCAACCTGTCATTACTGAAGCAATTTTCAGCTCTCCTGCAACCTTGAGTTCTACCAGAAACAGACAGATGTTCCATTACCTGTTCGGACATGGAAATGCACAGAGCGCTTTTGAACTATGTAATAGAGGAGTCCGAATCCACAAAAACCCTGTAGAAGTGTCATGCAGCCTGATGTGCTAACCTGGCAATGGAAGGTGAGCCTGCAGTCTCAGAATCAGACAAAAGTTTGACAGACACCACCTTGCAATGGACCACAAAGAGCAGAAAAGCTGCTTCATTGGTGTGTTGTAGATTCGTCCACATGTCCTTCGTAGCATCCAGCACTAGCCATTGCTTAAGGAGACTACTGACGGGTGTTGGACTGAACTAGCAAGACTAGTCAAATCAGGGTTTCTAAGCCGGAGGTGATTCCAGTGACGCAGTTGTGGCTCGATGGTGCACACAGCCGCTCCTGATACCATCTGACAGAGCTGATCACCTGATAGGCGGGAGTCTGGTGCCTGCTTCCTTCTTTCCCTCAATTAAGAGCTGTCGTTCATGATAATTTGTTTGGTGGTGTGAGAGTACTCCCTTCCCCCTCCAAAGTGGAGATCATTTGTTCAGGTAGAAAGGCAGGTGTGCAGAGGGAAGGTAAAGGTAAAGGTTCCCTTGCTCAAAAGCCAGTCGAATCTGACTCTAGGGTTGCAGTGCTCATCTCCGTTTCCAAGCCGAAGATCCAGCGCTGTCCGAAGACGTTTCTGTGGTCATGTGGCCAGCATGACTAAACACCAAGGCGCATGGAACGCTGTTACCTTCCCACCCAAGTGGTACCTATTTATCTACTTGCAATTTCTTGCTTTCAAACTGCTAGGTTGGCAGGAGCTGGAATTAGAGACGGGAGCTCACTCCGTCATGCGGCACACTCAGGTCTCGAACTGCTAAACCACCGACCTTCCACAGCCTGCAGTTCAGCGTCTTAACCACTTGAGCCACCGCAGCTCCTGTGCAGAGGGAAATCTGTTCCCTTTTCACGCCTGGCTCATTGTGAAGTCTGCATGTGTATTGTGGGGCAACATATCCGATTAGATTTAGAGAGCATGCTCAGCAATTTGTACCAATTAGAAACTGAAAACAACTCACCTCCACTATGTGGTAAAAACACTTCAAGTAATTTATTTGGAATGGACACATTAGTGCAAAAAGCAGTGTTAAAACAGACAGTTCCTTAAAAAGCATTCATCCAAATAAATACAAAATGTAGACACTACAAATAATTTACCGTTTTTCCTCCATGAGACGTTATGGAATATAGTCTTTGCCCCTTATAAATAAAAAAATATGAAGTAACAATTTTGCGCTCTGGGCCTTCTTTCTGTTTGCCAGACTCCGTCATTTTTAAAAAAGAGAGTCTTTGGTTCGCATCTGCCTTTTCAAGGGAAATGCTGCCGCTCAGCTCAGCAGTCTTTTTCCGAGCTGAAGAATTCTAACCATTTCGAGCATCCTTCTTTGTCTTCCTTCCTGGGTGTCCTGTTCCAATCCAGTCCAAGGCACTCAACTTCCTTTAACATCCAGAGATCTGGTCTAGGAAAAAAACCAAGGAAGTCAGCAACTTGGATTTATCAAACAAGGCTGCCACATTGGTCGGCCCAAATGAACATTTCTATAGTTCTGCTTCCTGCACTCCACAGTGTAGACGGTGTAGACAAGGCCTTCTGTCTCCAGCTCCCAAGGTGTTTAGGATTAAGGTGGGAACAGTAGCACTTAGCAAGGAACTGTCCCCAAATTTTAGGGTAGCCTTGCTGAATGTTACTCTTCAGTAAGTATTACTAGAGTCGCTCCTTACACATCTGCCGCAAAACCGGAAACAACTGCAAAATGGAGCTCTTCTACCAGCCTTTCGATTAGGGTGCCGCCCTTTCAATATGAAGGCCCCAACATTAACACCAACTTAATAACGTGATCAACAGCCTGATATAAAACCAGACTACGGTGGTAGCTGATTACTTGGATGCTGAGAGAATGCTGCCTTCGGTTAGGAAGGCACGAGCACTTTACGATATGTTTTATTCTATACTGTTGTGTTTTTATCCATTTCTGTGTTTTAGTTGTTAACATACTGCTGTGTAAGCCGGGCAGGGAGGGTGGGATACAAATTGAATAAATAAATAAAATCTATTACAGTGTAATGGCATTTATAGTATTTTTAGAAAGTAAAAACAGAAACATTCAGCGGTCAGCCAGCATCTATAGCTTATCTGGTATTCATCGGGGGCTTTAAATGGAAAGAAAAAATGAAAGACCACCTGTCGACACACACACAATTGTATTTCCTGAAAGATCATGATAAAATCTAAGAATGGTGAATTAATTCTGGGGAAACTAATGCTATCGTCAGCTTTATTGGAGAAAGCACTATTCCCATTTGAAGGCCACACCAAGTAATTGCACCATCGTCTCCACTCTTATGTTAACACAACCCTTGGAATCTTTGGTTCAACATGTGTTACACGTGCACACAAAGAGGCAGTGGGAAGAACCATGTATACACTGGACCCACAAACTAGTACTTTGTTGGGCAACAAACAGTGCTAAGGGCTTGCAGGAGAGGAGGTGGAAGTCACACAGACACACACTCACACAGAGAGAAAATATCTATGGATCTGGTGTAGTTCTCACTACTAGTAAAGTAAAGGTAAAGGTTTCCCTTGCTTGAAAGCCAGTCGAGTCCGACTCTAGGGTTGCGGTGCTCATCTCCGTTTCCAAGCCGAAGAGCCAGCGCTGTCCGAAGACGTTTCCGTGGTCATGTGGCCGGCATGACTAAACACCAAGGTGCACGGAACGCTGTGACCTTCCCACCGAAGCGGTCCCTATTTATCTACTTGCAATGTCTTGCTTCCGAACTGCTAGGTTGGCAGGAGCTGGAACTAGAGATGGGAGCTCACTCCGTCATGCGGCACACTCGGGTCTCACTAGTTGGGTTCACCTTAATTCAAACCTAGCAGGTTAAACTGGTTAGATGAAGTTTCCATCATGTCCTTTAATCACTGCAAGTATCTTAAAAACCCATACATTAGGAATCAGGGCTACCATTGGTTAATGACTGTATTAGTGAATGTCTTTTGCAACAAATAACCTAAGTCGACCAGAGTCTTTGAAGCACAGAAAACTGCACACTTCAAACAAATTCAGAATCCAGCCTTCCTTTTAATGTAAAGCTGCAGACGATGTCCCCCCCCCGCCTACCGAAAATTAAATTTAAATAAGGAAATAAATGGAATTACATCAATGTAGAGAGCTGCGGTGGCTCAAGTGGTTAAGACGCTGAACTGCAGGCTGTGGAAGGCCGGTAGTTCAGCATTTAGAGACCCGAGTGTGCCGCATGATGGAGTGAGCTCCCGTCTCTGGCCCCAGCTCCTGCCAACCTAGCAAGTAGATAAATAGGTACCACTTCGGTGGGAAGGTAACAGCGTTCCGTGTGCCTTGGTGTTTAGTCATGCCGGCCACATGGCCACGGAAACGTCTTCGGACAGCGCTGGCTCTTCGGCTTGGAAACGGAGATGAGCACCGCAACCCTAGAGTCGGACGACGGAGCGAGAGAAGTTGGCGGTTTCCGCTCACCTTTGGCTCTGCCCGGCGTGGCGGGCGGGCGGGCGTCGGGGGGTCTCAGGGGGCCCTGGCCAGGCGCCTGTGGCGGGTGCCGGCGTCGGCCTGCTGGGCGGCCTCCTGGCGGCTCTTGAAGTCCCGGACGGCGCGCTGGTTCTGGAAGTCGATGAGGGCCAGGGTGATGGAGGCGTTCCAGCAGCTCTCGCCCGGGCACCGAAAGTCGATCTCCCGGCGGTCCGTCGTGACGATGGTGAAGTAGACGTACTTGCCGGTGCGCTCCACGCAGTCCACCTTCTGGATGGCGCCGAAGCGCAGCTCCTTGGCCCGGCCCCCCTCGGGCGAGGAGAGGCGCAGGCACTCCCGGCTCAGCACCACCTGCTTCTTCTTCCACAGCTGGAAGAGGCTCTCGCTCCGCTTCTCCAGCTCGCCCTCGCGGAGCACCTCCGACGGCGACGGGGACGGCGAGGGGGGACCCTTCATCGCGCCGCTGCCCGCTGCTCCTCCGATCCGCGCCTCCCCACTGCCTTCGTGCGGCGAGCTGTGCGCGGCCGGCGCCCGGCGGGACCCATTTATGGCCCTGCAGCCGCCCCGCCCGTCCGCCGCCTCCCCCCACGCCGAGCGAGGCAAGGCCGGCCCTCCCGGCGGAGTGCGGCGCTTCTTCCTGCCGCCCACTCGCTGCTCTTTGTATCAGTCGCTGCTCTCCCTTTCTCTCTCTTTCCTCCCCCCCTCCGGTTTCCCGCTGAATTCCACCGCGGCCTTCTGGAAGATCAGAACAACCCGGGTCATCATCAAGCGGCTCAGGCACCCCTCGAGGCCGGGAAGGGGCTCCAGCAACTGCGAAGGAGGACAACGCTGCGTGGGGCTCATCCAGATCCGCCGTTTCTGTGGCCAAAACCTCGACGTATTTTCTGGAAAGGATCGCTTTCATCACACACATGTCAACACTCCCCTATAATATGCGCACATACAGGCTCCAGGGCCGGCCCCAGTTTATTTTGCACCCTAGGCGAGGATCCCTTCTGGCGTCCCACCCCCCACCATTTTTCAAAAATAAATGCATTTTTTTGGAAGAATGAAAAACACAAATAATTAAGAAACTCTCAGAGTACCCAGAGGCTAAAAGATTGTGAGCTAGCTCACACGAACTCAGCTTAGAGGGAACACTGCTCCCAGCCCAACACTGTGGCTGGTTCACACATGCATCTGCATCCTTTGGCCCTTGAGCAATGTCCCCTCTAAGCTGTGGGGTCTTGTGAGCAAAACGTCTACTTTCTGAGCTACTGGCGTTAAAGTTGTGGGCAAGCGATTTGGCTGCTGCATAAATGAGTTTGCTCTGGAGCCGTCCCTTCCTGAGCTGAGACAAAAATGTTTGAGCCAGAGGCTAAAAAACTGTGAGCTGGCTCACACGAACTCAGCTTAGAGGGAACACTGCACCTTGAGTATTGTAACCTTGAGGACTAGCAGCACGGACTGCTAGGGTTGCCAGGTCTGGGTTGGGAAATATCTGGAGACTTTGGGGGTGGAGCTGGGAGAGGGCGGGGTTTGGGGGAGGAGAGCACCCCCTGCAGTGTACAATGCCATAGAATCTTTCAAAGCAGCCATTTTCTCCAGGGGAGCTGATCTCTGTCAGCTGGAGATCAGTTGTGAAAGTGGGAGATCCCCAGGCCCCACCTGGAGGTTGGCAACCCTTACTGACTGTTGAGAAGTGAAATCAAGTGGGAGTTCTGGCCCTGGTGTAAGAGCCGTGACGCCCTTCGCAGGTGCCAGATAGGGCGAACCGTTTCAGGCAGGTAAAGGCCATGCTGTGAACAAAGAATCCCATCCTGCCCTGCCGCAGTTTCCCAGCAAATTATTTCCTTTGCTGAATTATTCAGACAAATGAATGGTTTCTCTGAATTTCAAGCTTTTGCAAATTTATCTGTTTCTTCTCTCTTAAGGTAAGGGAACGTTGGGTAAACTCAGGGGTCTTGTTGTAGAAAAAGAGCTGCCGGAGCTCATTAGCATAACTCATTAGCATAACTTATTTGCATATGCCACGCCCCCTGACATCACCGGAAGTGACAGAAGGCCACACCCCCTGACATCACCGGAAGTGTGTCAGAAGGCCCGGCTACTTACCCTCCTGCTTCATCCTCATTCCCAAACGGAATGAGGATCGAAGCAGAGGGCGGGGTAAAGAAGGGGCGGGGCTTCACCACGTGACCGCCCCGCCCCCTAGAGGTTCTCTTCCGGAGCTCCGTACCTGAGAGCTCCCCCCCGACTAGAGCCCTGGGTAAACTACTGACTAAAATGCGCCCTGCTCAGCTTTTCTGCATTCATACACACTGTAGGCTGTTTGCTAAGGGGAGGGAGGGGAGGGGGGGTGAGCATCTGGCTCCTTCCTGTGGTCTGTGGAGAGCAGAAGGACTGTCTCTCCCTCCAGAGGTCTGCATGCCTGTGTGGAAAACAGGAAAGCTGAGCTGCCCACCATGGCTGCATGCCCAGATGGCTGCATGTCTGCGTGGTCCAGAAGAGGGCAACCAGGATGGTGAGAGGGTTGGAATCCAAGTCTTGGGAGGAATGTTGGGTGATAGTGAGATATTGACAAATGGTATTTAGCAGAGATAAGATAGTCCAGCAGAGCCAAAGTAAAATAATGCAGACTGAGAGTCCATGTGTGATTAAAATATAAATTTCCTAGATTATGGCTGCTCTTCTTCTTCTTCTTCTTCTTCTTCTTCTTCTTCTTCTTCTTCTTCTTCTTCTTCTTCTTCTTCTTCTTCTTCTTCTTCTTCTTCTTCTTCTTCTTCTTCTTCTAGATTATGGCTGCTCTTCTTCTTCTTCTTCTTCTTCTTCTTCTTCTTCTTCTTCTTCTTCTTCTTCTTCTTCTTCTTCTTCTTCTTCTTCTTCTTCTTCTTCTTCTTCTTCTTCT